ATGGACCAGCTGAGAAATCAGCTGGATACGACTTTCGCCCCTGGAACTCGTGGACGCAGCCACCGACGACGACCAAGAAGATCGCGGATGTCTGAAGCGAGGGACAGGGAAAAATGGCAACTTTTGTACTGGGGCCCGCACGTCACGTGAGGAGGGCCATCTAAGTATCTAAGTAAGTAAGTATCTATTTTGGGATATTTTTTTTTCTATTTTTTTTATTTATTTTAGGTTGTTGCAAAAATAATGTCCGTTTTTTAAATTTTCACTTTGATAGGCTATAACTTTGTCCAGTCTTCATATTTTTGAATGTAATCAAAACCATATGAAGCAGTAAACCTTTCTTAATCTGATGCGCACCTGCATATATTAATTTCACAAACGGGAAGAAATCCGTGCGTCAAAAAACCGAAAGTTTTTCTTTTAAAAACCTCGTCTTTGTGAGACTACAACTCCCTTCGAGTTTTGTTCCATTGACTGCTAATCAGCTTATTTTGTAGACACAAGCCAGTAGTATACTTCTACTTAGAAGAGACTTTAATGAAGGAGTCCTGCGAATAGAAAAGATAGAAATTCAAATTTGTTCACTTTTTCGAGCCTATTTGTGGGACGCCAGAATGTCCCAAAATATGGAAATTTGAAATTCTTTTTACACTGAGTAGCTAAGCTTTTCTGCTAAAATTGTGAGAAAGATGTTCTGACCTCAGGCATACAGAAATGGGCGAAGCTTCGGCGATTGCCATACTTATGAGAAACTTTGGACCCATAGATTGCCAGCAGTGAGTATCTATTTTGGGGCGTCGATTTCTCGGTTCAGATGTTTTGAAAATATCTATTTGAATATGCTATAGGTAAACAATATTCAAGTAATACAGAAGCTATGTTTTCAAAAGAACCCGTTGAGTTGCGTCTGAGTTGTGGCCAAGGGAGTTTAAGCAACGACTTTTTGATTTTGAGTGCAGCTGTTTGAGATGCTGGTGAAATTCTCACAGATGAGATAAAAGCTCAATTTTGCAACTGTCAGAAAGTACATGAAAAAAGCTTTACAACGATATGCAGAATCCATATCGAAAAAGAAACTATGAAGGAAAAAAGTTGTTCGGAAAATAGGCCTAGAAAAACGGACATTATTTTTGCAACAACCTAATAATATTTTGTCATTTCATTTGTTTGGTATACTGAGGAAATCAGCGTCTTCTACGCAATTTTTGATGTGATCCTTTTAAGCATAAAACATTTGTTAAACAATTTTTGTGTGCTATAAAAGAAGTCTGAGGGTCCGGCGAAGCCGGACAATCAGACTGGTATTATTATATAGTACTTGGCTTAGCCACTTTTGTATCTTCGCCTAAAAAGGACAGAAAGAGTAAAAGAACTCTAATTTGGCATACATATTGTATGGAATCGGGCCTATGTTAATAAGCTATTTTGTTTGAGACACACGGAATGCCTCTATTGATTTATTGATTTTTGCAGTTTTTGTTTAGAAATTTTTTATGTTCGTCCGAAAAGAATAGAAGTAGTAATGGAATTTGAACCAAATTTGGTATACATAATGGGGGTAGGGCGTGTGCTAATAAGCCATTTTGTTCGACACACACGGATTGCCTCTATCGATTTATTGATTTTTGCAGTTTACGTAGTATACGTTGCTTAGAGTGTTGAGTCAAAATGAACTCACAAAGCCGAAATTATGTCCTCAGTTTTTCTTTCTGCTCAAGTTATAACTCTAGTTCGTGCAACATAGCAAACTGTCTGCAAATTTTCACATTTCCGCATTAAAGTAGAAAGTGAAAATAAAACGAGAAGTTCACGAGGCAGCGGAACTGCTGAGTATCAGCCGAACCTGCAGCTAGCGTCAGAGAGCGGCTAGTCAACGGAGTAAACTGGCAGTAAGCGGCTGGTAAACTTTAGTGGTGTAAGTGCCATTGATTTACATGCTCTTACAAGGGGAAGATGCTTAATTGAAGTGGCTTTTCCATGTGGAATGTACACTATCTTATAAAGCATAAAACGCTGATTCCAAATCTGCTTTCCTTATCTGCAAAGCTCTTCTGCGAAGAGAGTTATGAGATTTTTCACGCAGAAATTTGGAAGAGCGGTTACAATAAAAGCATTCAAAACTTTAGCCCGCGAGCCATATGGGACCATGGTTACTATTATGGGCTTTTATGCAATAGATACCTTCAATCTAATAAACTCATGCTGTCATTACTCTTTTCAAGCGCCGGAAAGATCTCGACACTTGTTTTTTAGCCAAATCATTGTATTAGATTGTTATAAGTCTTGTTACACTTCAATTTCTCAAGGCGATAAGTCGTGAACTCCATAATTTTAATAGGGCTCTAGGGTACCGTTCGATAGAGCAAAGCAAGCTCTACAAGACAGCATACAAAAATTCGCACCAGCTGCGACCAACCGTAAGTTTGCATCCAAAACTTGAGTCGTACTGAAGGCTCACAAAATTGCGAAAAACTATCGATTCACAAAAATCCTACGAATCTTCAACTCGCTCGTAAAAATTGCACGCTATATTTCACACTCATATGTACCGTTGCTGTATCTTTTCCTTATTTAGAAATGGAAAAAATGAAAATTTTCTTGTTTTTACAAAAACGGAGCTATGCTAATTCTATTCATGTACAGTCGAGTAGGTTTAGCGGTAAATATGGTGTGCTTGCACAGAAGGTGAAATGCGGTGAAATTTGCGCGTGAACAAGTAGCCACGCCAGTACTGCGGGTACCTTGCGCTCGCAATTGGCCGGCGTCACAGTCGAAGCTATTTCTTCACGTGCAAATTTTACCGCATTTCACCTTCTGTGCAAGCACACTATATTTACCGCTAAATCTACTCGACTGTAGCTGTATACTAATAGCCCCTAGAAGTATAACCGTAAATTTTCAGCTTTCCAAAAGCCCTAATTTTCGAAAATTGCCTGATTTAGCATTGAGCACCCGAGCGAAAGAATCTAAATTCGGCACTTTTCGAAAATTAGCGCTTCAAAGCTGAAAATTTACGGTTATACTTCTAAGGTCTTGTAGTTTACAGCTACATGAATAGAAACGCATAGCGCCGTTTTTGTAAAAACAAGAAAATTTTCATTTTCTCCATTTCTAAGACTTATGTTACAACGTGATATTTTTACCTCAAAAAATTCCAAGAATTCTCCTCCCAAAAGCGCTTTGCAGGTAAGGAAAGCAGATTTGAAATCAGCGATTTATCTCCTATAAGACAGTATACATTTCTTATGGAAAAGCCACTTCGACTAAGTATTTTTCCCTTATTAGTGAATGACGGATCTGAAGTTCTTGCGTTGATTCATTGCGTCAGTTTCCAAAGGAGGACAGGTGTGCTTGTTCATCACCCAATCATAGTGATAGTCCTGTGATAATCCCCACTGATTATAAAAACAGCGTAACTGATATTTTTGGTTGCCAGTAATTGATGACGTCACCAACTCGCGCCGGCCGGAGTGGGGGGGGGGAAGGTGTGGGGTAAGGTGATGAGTCATCATGTTTACGACTTCCTTGCTTAACACCTACGCGGCGAGGGGGAGGGGGGGGGGGAGGATGATGCATTACAAGTGAATGCAATAAGATCAGTACGTGTAATCCCCTGTAAAAGTAATTGCATAGGAAAAGAGTGCAACAAAAGACCCCTAGAGCTGAGTTAGTTCCCACATCACAAATATATAATTTGATTAAATTTGAGTGATTCGCGCCTTAAGGCCTCCAAAGAAGACGTTGTAGCCAAAAATTAAGGCCAAATGAACTTTATTTGTACTATTTACACAGCCAGTCCCAATCGGGATCAAATCGAATCGTGCGTAAATTTGCGCATGGCAACGCTAAGGTTTGCGCTGCATTCCGCACTGTTAGAGAGAGCAAAGAGGTGCAATAGAGAGCAGACAAGCGGCCCAAGGCGCGACGGAAAACCTATCGAGCGAACTTCCGCCATACCAGCCTGATTGGGATTGGGACAGATGCCAAACTTATGAGGCACAAAAACATTTCACAAACTTTTCAAAAAATGGGTTACAACCTCAAAATTCGCTAAAACTTGTATAGGGGTTATTCAACATGCTAATTCCATATTTGTTACTAATATGCTTTACAGAGCTCAGTTTCATGCCTACGGTAGGCAAATGGTAGTTCCTGGGAGAGGGGGAGGGAGTGGGAGAGAACTTGAGAGAAAATCGTATCCGGTGATTGTTTGCCACACCTCTTGCTCGATCCTTGCCACGTCTATGAAAGACTAGTGTGAAAATCAGCAAAGCAAGTTTAATCTTCTGTGAAGGAAGATGGACAAAGAAAGATTACAACAAAATAACCTTTACAGCTAACTCACTCTTTACGTCTCGAATCTATATATTAGGTAAATAAATGATTGGCTTCTTTTTAGGTCTCTGAGGAAGGCGCTGTTGTTGAAAAGTAAGACTGTTATCCATCATCTGATGGAAGAAAGATGGAAGAAAGAGCAGAAAGTAGTCTAAGGCGTGACGTAAAACGCTAGCGACGGGACCCCCATGCCAATTATGGGCAGACTGGGGTTAGAAAGGACTGTATCAAAATTGTGATGCACAAAAAATTGCGAAATTATGGAGAAAAACGCTAGTTTTATAAACAAAAAGAATATGAAATACCTCAAAGAAACCGCTCTATTTACTACATGAAGCAATACTTTGTTTGTCTTATTTTAGTACCTGTGAAGTTCATCTCTGATGACCAACAGTATAAAATGTGAGTATAGAAAACCATCAAAGCATTGTAGTTCTCTGAACAGGAGGATGAGAGGTGGAGATAATCATAGAAGAGTGTCTGCGATCGAATGTAGATCTCAAATCTTTTATTGTTGCTTGCAATAGTAGATTCAAAACAAAGAATAAACTTCATAATTTAGGAGCACTTCTTCTGGTGGCATTCATTCTCCTATCGCCTACTACCGCTGAGACTCGCTCTAGCTGTAGTCCTTGTATAAACCATCATGGCACTTCCCCCAGGATTCATCCTTCTAAAATCTCTATTCGTCGCAATGGCAGGAAAATTTCCTCTGGTGGGACTGCTGGCACTCCATTTAGCGGCATACCCCCTTGGTGCAATTCTTGCATTTCCTTTGAAAGCATTAGTCCAGGGCATGGCATATCTCCTAGGAGTGTTATTGGTATTCCAGCTGGTTCCATAGACATTTCCTGCATTCCTTCTGGTGTGAATATTAGGAACTCTTCCGGGATACTTCCTTGCTGCATTATTCACATTTCCTTTAAAAGCAATTGGCCAGGTCATGCTATTTCTTCCAGGAGTATTACCGGTATTCCAGCTGGTTCCATAGACATTTCCTGCATTCCTTCTGGTGTGACTATTAGGAACTCTTCCGGGATACTTCCTTGCTGCATTATTCACATTTCCCCTAAAAGCATTTGGCCAGGTCATGCTATTTCTCCCAGGAGTATTACCGGTACTCCAGCTGGTTCCATAGACATTTCCTGCAGAATTCCTTCTGGTGTGACTATTAGGAACTCTTCCGGGATACTTCCTTGCTGCATTATTCATATTTCCCCTAAAAACATTTGGCCAGGTCATGTGATGTCTGCCAGGAATATTACCGGTATTCCAGCTGGTTCCATAAACATTTCCTGCAAAATTCCTTCTGGTGTGACTATTAGGAACTCTTCCGGGATACTTCCTTGCTGCATTATTCACATTTCCCCTAAAAGCATTTGGCCAGGTCAAGTGATGTCTCCCAGGAGTATTACCGGTATTCCAGCTGGTTCCATAGACATTTCCTGCAGAATTCCTTCTGGTGTGACTATTAGGAACTCTCCCGGGATACTTCCTTGCTGCATTCGTATTTCTCCCAATAGCTTCTTTGAACAAGGGCATGAGATTTCTCCAAGGAGTACTGCTGGAATTGATTCTGGGTTTATTTCTTCCATAGGCTGGACTCCTTCTTTTGTTAGTCCGTGGAGAATACCTTCTGGTTGGACTATGTCGCCTCAGAGTGGTACTCTTCCACTTAAACGCCTTATTTCTGGAGGCATTCCCGTTATTCGTCCTCCTGTTATTCCTCCCAGGAGCACTGCTGGGGTTGATTCTGGGTTTATTTCTTGCATATGCTGGACTCCTTCTTGTGTTAGTCCATGGAGAATACCTTCTGGTTGGAATATGTCGCCTCAGACTGGTATTCTTCCACTTAGACGCCTTATTCCTGTAGGCATTCCCGTTATTCGTTGTTCTGTAATTCCTCCCAGGAGCACTGCTGGAGTTGATTCTAGGTTTATCTCTTCCATAGGCTGAATTCTTTCTCGTGGTTCTTCGTGAAGAATTCCTTCTGGTGGGACTATATCGCTTCAGACTGGTATTCTTCCACTTAGACGCCTTATTCCTGGAGACATTCCCATTATTCGTTCTTCTGTAATTCCTCCCAGGAGCACTGCTGGAGTTGATTCTAGGTTTATCTCTTCCATAGGCTGAATTCTTTCTCGTGGTTCTTTGTGGAGAATTCCTTCTGGTGGAACTATATCGCTTCAGACTGGTATTCTTCCACTTAGACGCCTTATTCCTGGAGGCATTCCCATTATTCGTTCTTCTGTAATTCCTCCCAGGAGCACTGCTGAAGTTGATTCTAGGTTTATCTCTTTCATAGGCTGAATTCTTTCTCGTGGTTCTTTGTGGAGAATTCCTTCTGGTGGAACTATATCGCTTCAGACTGGTATTCTTCCACTTAGACGCCTTATTCCTGGAGGCATTCCCATTATTCGTTCTTCTGTAATTCCTCCCAGGAGCACTGCTGGAGTTGATTCTAGGTTTATCTCTTCCATAGGCTGAATTCCTTCTCGTGGTTCTTCGTGGAGAATACCTTCTGGTGGTACCATGTCGCCTCGGACTGGTATTCTTCCACTTAGACGCCTTATTTCTGGAGGCATTCCCGTTATTCGTCCTCCTGTTATTCTTCCCAGGAGTAGTCCTGGTAATCCTGAGGTCATTTCTCCTGAAGGCTGTATTCTTCATGAAGGGCCTTACGCATGAACATACCTTCTCAGAGACTACTTCAACTAACCTGGCACTCTTCCTTTCGTCATTTCTTGTGCTCGTCCTAGGAACATTAGTAAAGGCGGTGCCTCTGTTGTTCGTGCTCCTGCCGTTCTTCCCAGGAGTAGTCTTGGTAATCCTGAGGTCATTTCTCCTGAAGGCTGTATTCTTCATGAAGGGCCTTACGCATGAACATACCTTCTGAGAGACTACTTCAACTAACCTGGCACTCTTCCTTTCGTCATTTCTTGTGCTCGTCCTAGGAACATTAGTAAAGGCGGTGCCTCTGTTGTTCGTGCTCCTGCCGTTCTTCCCAGGAGTAGTCTTGGTAATCCTGAGGTCATTTCTTCTAAAGGCTGTGTCTTATATATAAAATTGAATGTGTGTATGTATGTCTGTCTGTACGTACGTGCGGAATAGAAATTTTCATTTCTAAACCGATTTGGACCAAACTTGGCATACATACACTTCAGTCCGGGAAGCGTGTCATAGGCTACTTTTCGTCATCGATTGATATCGATTTTATCGATTTTTTGCATCAACTAGTTCTTCATAAGGGCTATGCCATGTTGAACATACCTACTGTTGGGACTATTAGGACCTAACTTGGCATTCTTCCTTTCGTCATGCCTACGGCTCATCTCAGAAGCATTAGTCAAGGCGGTATCGTCATTCGTCTGTGTGGCATCTCCCCTCGGAGTATTCCTGGTAATCCTGAGCTCATCCCTATCAAAGCTATTCTTTTGATCGCATTATCCCATGTTAAATATACCTTCTGTTGGGACTATTGGGACCCAACTCAGCATTCTCCCTTTCGCCATTCCTACGGCTTATCTCAGGAGCATTAGTCAAGGCGGTATCGTCATTCGTCTGCGTGGCATCTCTCCCAGGGATGTTCCTGGTAATTCCGGGATCATCCCTACCAAAGCTGTTTTCTTTTTAATGGCATTGTTCCATATTAAACCTACCTTCTGTTGGGACTATTGTCATCCAACTCGGCATTCTCCCTTTCGCCATTCCTACGGCTTATCTCAGGAGCATTAGTCAAGGCGGTATCGTCATTCGTCTGCGTGGCATCTCTCCCAGGGATATACCCGGTAACTCCGGGGTCATCGCTCCTAAAAGCTGTGATTTCCAGTGGCATCATTCCATGGTAAATACCTCATGGTACCCCCATTGGAACTCAAGGCAGTTTCCCTTGCAGCATTCATCCCAAAACCTCCACTATTGGTGTTCGCTCCAACGGCGTTCATTCCCGATATAGTATTCCATTCGGAACTATTCAAAACGTCACTTTCCTTGATGATACTGTTTTCATTCTCCGGGCACTTATACAATATGTTGATGTTATTGACATCAGATTGCGTGAAGTATGGTCGCATGTGGGGTTTGAAGTTAGAGAAAGGGTAGTGCATAATGGAATCTGAATCGTATTCACCCATGTATTGCGCCTCAGCTCTCGAGATAATGTGCCGATTCCAATAATCGCGAGAGGGATCTGGATCACGTTCATTAGCGCGTGGATCGCGGTCCTCTCTGCAAGGGTCTTTCGAGTTCACAAACGCAGAACAAGCAAGACTATTCCAATGTACACCTTTGATGTTCGTGATGAAATCCGATACTATGCATTAATTCATGAATCATAGCTGATCCATGAAAGCAAGCAGGGTCCATATTCAATTCCGTAATGAACTTGCCCTCATATGTCCGATGATTTAGGTCCCGACCGACGCTGCTAGTACACCTGAAGCAAAAGATAGATTATCTAGAATGGTTTACAAATTGATACTTGCCATTCAGGTCTTCTAGAGATTGCCAAGTAGTACATATCGCCTGCTGTTCGCTCTCGGAATCTTATGCATGTATGTTTGTGAAATGCATTCATCGCATACCGGATAACTTGTAGATCACGAGAGGTAAAATATGCTGCATGCTGCAGTTCATATGGCACATCTGCATTTGGCCAGAGGCTCAAAAATAAGGTATTGAAAGTTAAGGATACACAGAAGACATTACAGAAAAATTAATATTGAAGGTAAGTTACCCTGGACTATTAGAGAAAAGCGCAAGACCTTTGAAATGTTTATGTTTGACAGCGTCCAAACTCCTTTTTTTACCTCCATTCAGTTTCTGTAAATGCTATTTGGTCAGAAAAAACTTGCGGCAAGCAAAAAAAATTATTATATTGTTACAAAATTAGTGTATATGTTTTGCAATTGTTTTCCAAAGTGGTTCAAGAAAGAAAATCGTTTTCTCAAGAATTCTACATAATTCTGAATGCTCTCTTTAAAGTTCCTTATGCATGCTTTTACATGAAACTGAAATTGGAACTGAATGTAAGCAAGTCCTGTTCTAATATTTAGTGCCTTCGAACTTTAGAGAACAAATCTCAAAATATTTCTCCTATACTCTTTGCATTAAATTCACCGCAATTGTTTTCTTTTTCTTCAACTTATGGTGTATGATGTTAGTGAGTAACTTGTGTCACAATGCATCCACATGACTTCTCGAGGTTTTTAAGCTGATATATTTCAAAAAAAAACTTAAATGGTTGTTCTTTGGCGACTGGAAATGAGCGCAGAGCAATTGCAGAGCTTTTAGCGTTTACAGAATTATTCACTTAGAGTATTCAACCAAACGAATTGAAACGCACAAGTCCAAAATCGGCGTCGGGGGAGGACGCGCAGTCGCCGCGGAGCGCGACAGCAACAAAAAACTTGGATTTTGCGCGCTTCCAGTGGAGTATTGCTAATAAGAGTTTTCATGTTTTAGTTCTACTGTGTAGCATTATGTAACTTGGTGCGATCTACTTTCAATGTGATCTGGCTGTTTTTTCCTAGGTTGAGATCTCCATCATTGTTTGTGGGGTTGTTTCATTGAGGAAACAGCTGAAAAGGAGAGCCTATTGGGCTGATTTACTCAGTGCACCGATAGACTGATTAATCTGAAAAAAGTTCTGCACTAGCCCTACGTTTGGTTTGTGTGGTTTAGGAAGCCATACTGTGCTATCAGCTCAGGTTTTTTTCACAGATATGAACAATCGTCAGCTCAAAAATGCGAACCGGCTTGAGAATCTGGTTCTGTTATCGTTAATCATTTAAATACGATTGCTAGCTGCTCTTTTAACTGAGTTTTCGAAGCTGACGCGTTTACTTGAGTCCACTGGTTCTTTCCAGATCAATATCGTAAAGAAAGAGCATCGGCTACACGCTTTACGCTAGCCGTCACATGCTATGTAAAGAATTTATTTTGACTTCAAGTTGTATCAGACATGAAACAAGTGGGTGTCACGGTTTGTCACTATGCTTTAAAGGCAGCGTCCAGGCAGATTCTCGACTTCTATAATTTTATGTTATCCAGGCCTTTCCATAGCGCTGATTCCGAATATGGAACTTAAAAAGCGTGAATTTCTCAGAAAACCACTTTTTGGGGCTATTTTGGGAAAACCCGGACGAGTGCTTCTAATGTTATCCTTGTCGAAAGCAAGTATTAACAGGTAAACGCTGTAAGTTCGACTGTGTTGGTCATGTGAAAACACGTCAAGGTTTAGGAGATTTCGTTCATAAGGGGTTGGCCGTCCGAGGGAAGTGGGCGTGGTCGTCGAGCTCGGATCTGCCTGGACGCTGCCTTTAAGTAAACATCCTTTTCATTTACCTTACAAGATCCATGCTAACCACTTTCTAGGCACTGTTGTTCTATGTATCAGAATATACGTGCTTGATTGGTCCCAGATACGACGTCGTTGCATTTATTTTGTCTTTCTTAGGAACGATTTCTTTTTAGTGCGCTGTTTTCATGACGTTGTTGTTCTCCTCTTTCTTTTATGCACGTCCTTTGGTTATTATCATCGACTCCACGATTCATGTATAGGCGGGATTTTCCCAGCTCAAAGCGTGGTTTCTAATAGCGAGGAGGTTCAACATGTTCATCCTCAAAACCAGGGGAAGTCTGCAACCTGCCTCTACACGAATCGTGGAGACGATCATACCTCGGATTCAGAGTTTTTTTGCCAAAAACAACGAACTATGCGCTTATGTGTGAGTACAACAAGCCCGTGGCTTATAAGAGTAGGACAATTACTAATTTGCGGACTACTGATCGTCACATATATGGAGTGGGTGGAAAAGACCAGCAGTCTGCGGAGGAAGCCCAACCGCTAGTTCTCGTAGTCTAAGCCATGCACCATACTTGCATTTCATCCACTTTCGCTTGATCCACTTGATCCGCTTCGCTAGTGGTCAAATAAATGAGCTGACCAAACGAAGTGGATAAAGCAGATAAAGTGATCAAATGGACATCTGCTTCCCTACTGCTCAGTTTCCGACTTGAATGGATTAAGTGACAGCATGGATTAAGGGGTGAGACGAAAGGTTGCCAAAAGGGGTGGTCACGCAAGGACATTTGCAATGAACCTCGTGCCTTCACCATTACTACCTCATGCTACTTGTCTGCGTGAGTGAACATTAGGTCGCCTATCGGTGACCTAATGTTCACTCACGATCAACATGGCGCGCATCCAGAGAACAGCATCATCCTACTGTATGGAAAAGCATTTTGATTGCTTACAAAAAATATGTAAAGAAGTCTGATCATCATTTTTACATCATTATCGGTTTGTATGAAAAGAGCTACTTGGATGAAACAAAGAGAATTTTGCTTGATGGCGTTAAAGCTGTGTAAAAAGTGTGTTCCGTAGCAAAGATCGGTGCCTTGGCTTACCTGAATGTTGATTATGAACAGTTTCTGAATTAATCTCTTTTTAGTAGTTGGGCGTAAACTTCGGCACGGTTCCGTGGTTTCCTGCTATCTAACCATCTTTGCAAGTTCCTGGTCGCTGTCATCCACGGCGAAAACTGTGCGTCGCTCCCACGACATCGATCATGGTACGCTTGTGCATTTCGAATTCGTCATTCAACCACAAGTGATATTCTTTCAGGAGCGAGGTATTTTTCACCTCCGCAAAAAAGCAAATGAGTACTTTTAAATTGAATTTTTGTGTAAAAGCGTAATGCTGCTTCACAATCGACTAAATTTGCATAACGGGTTGTCCTAATCCATTACTATTTCCCAACATGAATGTTCCTCAAAAAGTTAGCATTTTGTGCGGCAAAATTTTCTTGGAGGCTCGACAAGAACATGGTACATGCTGAATCGCTAAAGGTTTGTTGATGGCAATAGCTTCTACTGCACACAGAAAGGCAATTTTTGAGAAGTTGTAATAATCCAAAGCAATGAGAGACCTGCTTTGAATCTGTCGGGCCTAAGGTATACCACAAGCGACTCCATCACTGTGCGATCTGGCACTGCAACGATTTTCCATAGTTGGTCGTAAGCGCGCTTTGTTTGGGCCAGGCCTCATGCGTTTAATAACTACAACAGCTAAGCGCCTATGCATTTAGAACCTGCGCATGACTGATTTGCGGACATCTGGCAAATCGCCAGTCGCTCGAATGCATCAGTTTGTAGGAATCGCAGGAAATAGGCCTTAGGCCTCACACCTGATGAGAAGCGGTGTAAATGGCGCCAGGCAGCCGAAAGCAACCGGAGCGCACTATTTACGCTTGTCGTTTAGCGTCCCGCCGAGAGGATCTCACACCAGCCTAGCATCTCGTTTCGCTGAGATGAGAAGCAGCCTCAGCAGCGATTTCTACATATCTGAAAAATCATGTAAGTTAACCAAATTGTGAAAGCACGAGATTTCCGAAGGGTTACAGTTTACTTATTCAATTGCAAGAGAGCGACCAACAGCAAAGATAAATATTGGGAGCTTGGAGCGTTAATTTGAATCTATCTTCCCTTAGCTGCAAAACATTACTGTGAAGGGAGTTGGGAACGTTTTTCTGAGCCAATTCCAAAGCTTTGCATGCATAGCCTTTTGCACCTCCTCATATAATGAGGCATAGCGACAAGTGTGCTGCTCGATGCTGTAGGTCTGACTCTGTTTTGAGCAATCTTTTGTGCTGTATATGCTTTTTTGGAAGTTGAATGATCAAGCCTTTAGGATGATTTTTCGTACCTTAAGCAATGTTATCGGAGATTTGGCTTCGTCAAAAAGGAGAGAAAAGTTTAGTAAAGAATTAACAAGAAATCGTGTACAGTCGAAGTGGCCTTTCCATTTGAGTCTTATACTAGTTCAAAGAGCATTAAACGCTGATTCCAAATATGCTTTTACTACCTGCCAAGCGCTTCTTGGCGCCGAGTTATGCATGTTTTTTGGAGCAAAACATGAACGCAGAATTTATGCAAAAACTAGCTGGCCTACCCGGCTCCGCCGTATGTTCCGAATAGAAAATTCCATTTCTTACCGATCCGGACCAAACTTGGCACACATACCCTTTGGGCCCCGGCGGGTGTCACAGTCCACTTTTCGTTATCGATCGATGTCGATTTTATCGATTTTTTGCAAAATTTGAGCTACGGGGCTGGAATTTGGCAGAGGGGTGTAATCGAGCATGCTGATCATCCCCACGGGGGTGATCAGCATGCTCGATTACCCCCCTGTGCCAAATCCCAGCCCCGTAGCTCAAACTTTGCAAAAAATCGATAAAATCGATAAAAGTAATGCACGATTTTAAAAACTAATATTGTATTCGGAATCACCATGCTCACTTACCCCCCTGTGCCAACTCCCAGCCCCGTAGCTCAAATTTTGCAAAAAATCGATAAAATCGATATCGATCGATACGAAAAGTAGCCTATGACACCCGCCGGGGCCCGAAGTGTATGTGTGCCAAGTTTGGTCCCGATCGGTTCAGAAATGGAATTTTCTATTCGGAACATACGTACATACATACAGACAGACATACAGACATACAGACATACAGACAAACAGACATTCAGCTTTATATATAAGATAATAGCTGCAATCTTAAATGCTCTCAAGTAGAGCAGTGCTGAGTGCGAGGGTGTTAAGTAGAAGGTATAGGAGCCTGCATGATCGCGACGTCCGTACGGCCATTGCACCGCGCACGTCCGATGTCACTGAGGCAAGTGCCAGACTTATCCTGTTCAACCGGTTCGTCCGGTTCACTCATTCGCTATTGGTTAAATCAGTACACTGACCAACAGCAGAGGGATGAATCTGATGAACCTGTTGAATAGGGTAAGTCTGGCACCTACCTGATGTCGTG